TTATATTTTATCCAATTTTCAGCAAGTAATAATCTGTAAAATGCAAATATTTCATACATTGAAAATTTTTATAAAAATTAGGATATTAAAGGGCCCATCAATCATATTATATGATAAACGGACCTATTTAAAACAACATTACGTTTACCAGCAAGAACATGTTGATAACAAAATAATACGTTTCATGCAGTGACTATATTCAAGTGTTAGTTCGGATGTTGCATTTATATATTTAAATATACTTAAAAATCATCATCATCCGCACAGAATTTTAAAACTGTCGCAAGAGTTAGTCGTCAATTCGTGTTGTGAAAATGTATTTTATAAATGTAACGATATATATATATATATATATAATAGATAGAAAGATAGATAGATAGATATTGATATTGATATTTATGGAGATATATAATATATTTTATGACCTGAATTTATAGTTATTACAACTAAATCAACAGACCTATTACAACGCCCACAAGTTAATTACGTGTTGATCCATAGTTCCTACTTTCAGACGTAAAATGCTGTACTTGGTTTTAATTAGAACGCATTTAACCTCGAAGTACATGTACACCTGTTGTTCTGATTGTCAACATACTTTAAAACAACATCATTCGTTTAATAACACGTTCTATTCCGTTTTAACTAATTCAAATCAACAATAAATACTATAAACAATGTATCTCAGTTAGGAATCCAAAGATCATTAATCACAATAGTTGCTCAAATCGACATAGATGATCCGCTTTCTTTACGCATTACATTTATTTATTAAAATTCAATTGTAAAAGGGTCGTTCGATCGTTGTCTTATTTTCAATATAGGAAGGGTCATTCGATGTAGTATTACTTAGACATGGAAGTATTTCTATGTTTGAGGGTGGTTGGCTCATGCCTTGGTTTTAAATACCTCTTACGAAATTAACACAACCCAAGGCTTGGCCTCTGGTGTGTTTTCACAGCGCCCGTAGTAAAAAGGTTTGAGATTATTTTCGAGTTTTTAGTTTTTCGATCCTGTAATTCCCTTGGATGTATTTATTTCACGTTTGTGAGAGGGAATGAGCAAAGTGATTTGACATGTCAGTCTTACAGTTCTGCTCTGATATAAGATAACTGTTTATAGACGTGTGCAATGCACTATTTGTGGCTTGCGTGGTGTGAGGCGTCTCACCTCATTGTGGTGTGGTAAGAGGCGTCAAACAATACAGCGAATACAGCAAATTTAAATAAATAAAATGTATTTGTTTATAACATTCAGTGTCCATTCACTTTTTGGTAGTGTCTAAAAGTTTTAAGCTTTAAAGATCGGGGCCCATAACAGAGCCAGCCACAGGCAGATTTGAGGAACACGTTCGATCTCGTCACGATGGACATTCACCAGTTGTTCAGTCCACAAATATAATCCCCAGACTTGTTAATTAGTTGTAACAAGTCGAGTGCACAAGCAAGCGACTTCATTTAAATTAATTAACAAGTCTTAGGATTATATTTGAGGAAAAAAGCAAGGCATGTTCAGTCCACAAATGCAATCCCCAGACTTGTTAATTAATTTTAACAAGTCGAGTGCACAAGCAAGCGACTTCATTAAAATTAATTAACAAGTCTGGGGATTCTAATTGTGGAAAAAAGAAGGCCTGTTCAGTCCACAAATGCAATCCCCAGACTTCACTTCACTGCCTGCCACTTTATATAAAGTATCATGGACGAAAACTAAAAATTTAAGAAAACCCTGGCTTCGAGCGGCAGGCAGTGAAGTTCTTTTATAACCGGTGTGATATGATTGTCCGTAGTCGTACGGGTTAATAATCTATCGGAAATGCTTTGAATACCTTGTAATCTTTATATCTTTTTCTTGGTACATCCATATAAACTAGAGTTGCAATAGCTCAATTTATGCTTGCAATTTTAAGCTGCGTTGCTTAAATGGATAACAACTGTTCGTATGATATCTATATTTCACAATGAATACATTGTTATCAACTCATAGAAATAAAATAAATTCTATATTACCACGAAAACAGTGGTTTACGCAATTATTCTGGAATTTGTGCTTGCCATTACATCATGTGACCTCCATAGATGGCTACACTCTGTAATAATATCTTAAGAGAATATTATAAAAAACAAATTTTTTTGGAAAAAACAGGAAGTAACTTTGAATGTAGGAATGGATTCATTTACTGTTGGTAAGTATGGGGAAATTGTCCTTTATCCCAGGAAAATCTTTTTTTTTTTTGCCAAAATGAACAGTCGTTACAAATGTATCCCTTTAATGTTGCTTTTTCTTTTACAATTAGGTATTAAACAGCTACTGAGATATTCAACTTACATAATGAGAGCTCTGGCTTTAATTCCATTCAAATGACCGCTTTCTTTCACTTCAATAATCCTACATAGATTTTAAATGTCTGTGGGATTATTAATACCGCAATTTCAATATCGGTGGGTTAATTCGAATCTGTCTTGCTCAAGGTTAAGACGATCATCAATTGTCGCCCTTGAACTTATTTTCTTCACATGATTTTTTCTTTCATCGTCCTTTGTGCACCTGGAGCAACACATGGACTTTAGAGTACGTTGAAACGTTTTACCGAACACTCCATAAATGAAAAAATTCATAGAAGAGTTAAGCACTCCACAGAATGTTAGCACTTGGAAGAATAACGGCATATTTCGTGTCATATTTTGCGGCAATGCTTCAGGATAAAATCCAATAATAAAAGTGCAACAATATAAGAGATGAAATACAAGAGAAGAAACGGCGATCATAATAACAATTTTTGTCAATTCTCGGTAAGTGGTCATTTTTTGAACGAAAAGCACTTCGCGTCGTTTAGATAGCTCTCGCAGTCTGCGTATTATTTGCACGTTGCACTTCGTTATAATAAAAAAAGGAATACAAAAATAAAAAAGAGCGTGAAAAGCAAGCCAGTAGATCTTATGCTCGGGAAAACGGACAACCGGTGGTTTGAAACAAAATGGATAGGTCTTGTTCAACATACACGGGCGAAATCCTATTGAAACGATGAAGAAGTACTTGGGTATAACGCTTATAAAAGAGGCAATGACGACGACGGCAACCCGTCCTACCCACGTCTTCAGTGACGAGGTATCCAGGAGCTGTGAAGTTGACGAACAAATCAAGCGGTAACGGTCGATGGTAACAAGAACGCTTATCCAAATTGGAATAAGAATGAGCCAGTTGTTTAATGACCAAAGCACTCGTGTATGTTTCGAAATAAAGGGAAGGGTTCCTGGTATTAGTTCAGTGTAGGAGAATATGGACGGGATGCTGACAAAAAATGTTTGCGAAAGGATGTAGAAATTGTCAGCAACTGCCAAGCAACGGAGCAAAAAGGTTGATGAATTCTGGATCTTAAAATTTCGAAACACGACAAAAGACACTGTGTTTAACACAAGACCAACCAAAGCAATGAAGAAAGCTGAAACTCCACCAACAAAATTTACAATCCCTTTGTTATCTACACCACTACCCAATTCCCCCTCTACTACCGAAATATTTGAACTGATATTTAGAAAATCGACTTTCGGCACAGTGCCATTCATCATTTAGAACTGTCCTGCTTACCTCTGAGTCCCAGCTAAATTCAGGTGTTCATACAAGAAGCATCTAAACTGAATCTGAAATCATCTCGCTTACTTACGTCCATACATCGTATTTATAGGCTGTGATACCGTCTAACAATCTTGTAATAATCATCATCTGGTATTTAATAAGGAAAACGAATACCGAGCATAATCCCGTGAATCGATTTCACAGAATTTCTTCGTGTCAAAGTGACCTTTGCTGGTTAGGTAAGTTACATTGCTGACAGAGATTATAACCGTTTATAGCACAAAGGTTGGCTGAGAACACCAAACTTGTCACCGCCCGCAAAGCATAATAAAATGCTTGTCTCAACAGTAAAGTTTGAAGTTTTGGGGCTTAAATTAGATGACTACACTTGGATAACCGACTACCGGCACTTTAACTAAGTTCCGTAGTGTTATTCCACAAAGTGTTTTACAAAAGACTGGCCACCAATACATAAAGTTGGAATATCTAAATAAACTTTTGGCACCAATGGCAGAAAACACTATCAAGACATTCTCACCAAGCTCTAGGGGTTATGTTAAAAGACCAAGGGGATTTTTTGGAAAAGTAGCATAATGAACCGAGACTCACCGAGACTAAAATTAGACACGATATCCTGTGGCAAAAGGTGGTGATATTTTCTTGATTACTTCTTTAATCCGTATATAATGCTACTAAGTGACACACCGGCGGTCCTTGTTATAAACCAGTAGTGCTTATTAATTACCGGTAAGCAGCAAGACTGTCATCAAGCGTTACCTGCAATACTTGCGTACGTTTATTTACGGTGAAAAAGTTTTACTTTGCCATATTTCAAAACATGATGTCAGATTTCTACCCTACACAAAGTATATTTTTATGTGTAGCAATTATTTCTCCTTATTTTCTCGGTAGGAGAAATTATTTTAAAAAATAAGGACTTTTTAGTCAGGTGCAATCATATGGGTAATTTATTCTTTGTAACAAAAGTTGTTGCTGTATTTCACAATATCTGCGGTTGCAGGTCTCAAAACTGAACAAATTTTTTCTCGAGTGATTTTCTCGACAGCACAGCCCTGTAATAGCCAGAAGTTGCAGTCATACCAGTGCTAGTACACGGAGTACTACATAGAGGGCAATATCTGTTAGCAGATGACTGGAAACACGGAGAACGTATATATATCATCAATGAAGTATAAACAAGCGAAAATAAATTAGATAAGTAGATAAGGCTATTCTGGAAAGCGCCAAAGGTATTTCCATGACAATTTCTCTTTGTAATTATCAATGCCAAGAAATAAATCCCAGATTAGCTGTTGTGTTATAATCCACATTACACTAGTCTTCTTACCTCTTATGACACTAACAGGAAAGGGAATGAAAATAACAACATTTTCTTCATTACATAAATGAAGCAAACTATCATCTGGTTATTCAAATTTTATTCACAGATGCCACAAAGTGGTCAACAGATCTGTCTCTGGCTACTTCGATAAGACTCCAGTTACAATATATCCATGTGACACAAGTGGGCACAATTTTAAGTACAAAGCTGTATCACAATCTACAGTCATAGCTAATCATGTTGGTATTTTTAAACCAAGTACATTGTGGCCAGCAGTATTGATAAAATCAGCTCATTAATTTACCTATTGGCTCCACTCTGACATGTATACTAGTGCAATTATATACCTATCTGTACCCTGAGTTTTCAGTTGTTGAAATGGGTTTGTGGTCACGGAAAACAGGTAAAACACCATAGATTAATTGTTTTGGGAAAACATTTGGGTTTGCCATAAACATGGTGCATTTGAGTCTGTAGATGCAGTTGTGATTTATCAAAAATATCAATTAAAAATGTATCCTATATATGAAATGAATGATTTTACTATAAGATATAAAATGTGCATGCAAACATTTCCCTGAGCACCTGAATCATGAAATACTGTCAAAATGGCTAATATTCTCACTTCACCTTCATGTCAAGTAAGATCATATCTAACAACCACACCCAGTACATCCGACTTAACAAACAGAGAAAAAGCTTTTTCTTCAGATGATGGAAACTCATTTTCTAGTCAAACCTTTATAAATATCACTTTTACTAGTACCTGTTTATTTTGTAATGCTTTATCAGAAAATGGTCAAATAACTTGACATGCCCATATCTTGATGGGATATCAGATGGTGACATCTACAGTCTTGATGGGGTTCCTCCAGTCAGGACAATGGTTTCTCCTACTATGTATGAAGAATCTTGTGATACTAAGAAAGACACAGCACCAGCCATCTCATCTGGCTCACCAAACCTGACAAAAACACAGGAAAAAAATACCATAAATTATTACACTATAAATTTATCATGTTTCACTCTCCATTCTTACTCTACTTTACAGTATCTGTAATGACAAAGATATCAATGCAATTAAACAGGCATCTCGTGCTCATTAATTCAGTTAGCAACCTATTTTGAACCGACAGAAAGGACTTTACATGTGCTGGTCCCAACACACTGCATGCAATATGTTAATAACGGCTGCATTCAGAACAGATGATCCGCAGACTAAATGGTCCTTGAATCAAATATGGCCAACCCAACTTGAAAGTGATTCAGCTAATGGTCTCCCCTAATGGTCTCCCCACCTACCACATGCACCAGGCCTTTAGGGTTCTTATAATTAAATGGATTAAATTTTGGCTCCATGGTTTAATTGCCAGGCCCCTGCAGGGATGGCACATGTGAAGGCAGGAATACCATTAGGGAATTAGGTGGCATTGCTTTTAAGTGGGTTGTTCATATTTAGTCCATGGATCATCTCTTGTCAATGCGACCTATGTTACAGAAATGGTGAGTTGGATCAATACAGCAAAAATTGCACACAAAGTTGTGTTACGTAATTGAATCCCAGTGGTGCATGACTGCAGCCCTCAGTTATAAACAGGACTCAAGGAGGTATGTTCTGGAAACTTGTATGAAACCCAGTTAATGCTGACCTATGAATGTCCATGTTTTCAAACTTTTGATCCCCCCCCCCTTTAAAAAAAAAAAAAAAAAAAGGGTATTAAACTGTACAAATTATATTTACCTTTTCAGAGGAATTGGCTCCATGGCTTTTTCAGCTACCATCGGATTTTTCCATAGCTGAATAAAATTATAACTAGGTAATTAAAGATCTCAAATGTCCAAGTATTTATCAAATTCAAAATATTACTGATAACAACACATCAATATGTATATGTATATTCAAGTGAAACAAATGGCATTTCCAGGGGTACATTCAGAAATAGTGGATATACATTTGGATATATATTTACCTTCTCACTCCCAAAAACATACAACCAGCAAATTTTAAATGAAACCACACCAAGCAAATCAATGTGCCCTAAATAATATATTGTCAAATCTGTTCACTGTTTATATTTGCAACAAGATGTGAGACAATTTTTATCACTGTGCCCCTTTTTCCAGTTTACAAAATTTAAAATATAATCCTGCGTAAAAGAGATGAGAATGTGAGCAAGAAACCAGAAGAGTGAAATTCAATCCTGTCAGGCAAGTCTCTACTGGGTAATTATCCAACAGTAATCATGACTCTGGCAAAACTGAAGCAAAACAAAAAATCCATTTTCCACATATCCTGTGATATATTTGGAATACAAATGAAATGCCTACTAAAAAGTGATGTTTGCAGTACGGTTAAAATGTTTTCTAAAAAATAAAATGAAGCAAATAAAAAAAGCCTGGATACAAGTGTAAATCGCTTGTTTTTCAGATAGCCTAGCAACAAGGTTATAACAGTGTAATATACCAGCACACTTTAAAATCACAAAGAAGTGTATACAAGCAAAACAGATCTAATTTTCAGTTTCATTTATTCAACTACATGTAATAGTACATTTATTGTAAATGTACCTATTAAGAGTCTCAGATCTGCAGAAAATTGTGTGATAAATGCAACACAGGATCTGGGTAACTGTTGAAAAAACCTAAATATAAAAAATTATAGCAATTATAAAACATCTACTTACTGCTTCACTAAATTTAGTTTTGATGACTCCTGGAGCTATTCCATTCACCCTGATATTCATTGGTGCACACTCCTTAGCCAAAGCTTTTGTTAGACCAAGGAGGGCAGTCTTGCTCACAGAATATGCCGCTATTAGCTGAAAAAAAATTAAGTTGCATGGGTGAAAGTCGTAACAACCAAAAATCCTGAAAACATAGATTGCAATTTCTCGTCACATTTAGGGCGTATTCCCAGACATTTAGAACGATCTATCCCTGTGGGGAGTCTCACTAGATTACTGTCAGATAATCCAGCTTAAACGTCCGTCCAGCCTACTACAAGCTGTAAGGGGGTAATTAACTTTCGTGCCCGCTTGGCTGACAGCTATTTAGCATGAACCCCCAGGGAGTTAGGTCGATCTAGTTTGGATCGATCTAATCTCTGGGAATGGGGTCTTAGACCATACGAATAAAACAAGAACCAAAATGAAGACTGAAAATCCTGAAATCAGGCATAATCCTGAAAACTTTCACCCATAAAGTTGTTTAACAAAAGTTAAGTTGGCTTTAAAAAAGCATTCCTCCTACACTGTCAGAAAATGATGATAATAATAAAACTGTAGTAAATAAACAGCAATTACAAAAGGAATTTCCCTGCTCACAGATGCACAACATGCAGCAGTATTACACAAACTATGTAATAGCCATTTTATCATCATCAAATGTTTATGACCCAGTGTATTAGATAATTAATTCCAACGGTTGTGACAACATGACTAACATGCATTAATTAAGACCTTTCACCTTTAGCTTTGAGTATTTAGTGTCCATTCTGAGGTAAAAAAGTAAAACCTCTTACTTACCTCAAAAGGATTATAACCACCAATAGAAGAAACCATTACAATGTGACCACCACTGAAAGAAATGGTCAGGGTGAGATTAAAACATCCTTTATCCAGCTATAAGTTTCAATTACTATAAAGCTACCTACAGTACTAGTAGTTACTCGATCTTTTAATGGGGGACATTTGTGGATTTTTATCTGTAGTCCTAATTCGTAATTTCTTTAGATTAGAACATCCTATTGAGTGGTTGCAACAAAATTAGAAAACTGTATTCTCTACAGTTCTACTCTATGCAGAAAAAAACACAACAAATGCTATACAGAAATATAATAATTATGATTATAGAATTATGTATCTGAAATCATTTTTGCTCACTGAAAAGACTGGGTAATTACTGTACTTCAAGCTGTACAAATTCATATACTGTGATACTCTGGCCACCAAAAAATATTGGACGCTGAAAGATTCCAATAAAGTTGTGTGAGGAAACTAACAGTATATATTTATTCTTTATTTTGGTTGGCCAGACTGGTGATACTATTGTTTGAAATAACTGAAAGCATATATGTCCTTACCCTCTTTGTTCCATAATAGGCACCACAGCTTTACACAACAGAAAAGCTGCTTTCACATTGACGTCAAATATCTGGAATTGCATATATTCATGGTTATTTGACACTAAATTCAGTAAGTTAATGATGATTAACTGTACAGAATCACTGACAAAATGACATCCTATGGAGACTCTGAAAGTAATGTGAGAAGGGGGAGGGGATGGTAAACCAGCATTTACATTGAGAATACTAGAGTCAGCAGTTAACTGATCAATATGTATTTTGATGACTATGATGCAGCCAAAATCTTTGCAGTCACTTCTAGCTTGCAGAAGGTAAATTGTATGACAAATTCAGCAGGTTTTGCAACAGAAAATATTTTGCAACAACACATTTTTGAGGGGGCATTTTGTGGGTAACAGCAGTCACTTCTGGAGTTCCTAGGAGATTTTTTTTTTTTTTTTTTTTTTTTTTTTGAGAACAGATGAAAATTAATGTGTGTGTGTAGATATCGTACATAAGTTAATTCAGTGTGGCAAAACTCTTTTAAATGACTGACTTGTATTATATCAACAAACATTTTACAAATAACTGAACATAAACTATGTTTAACGTATCAACAGTACAGAAAAAAAAATACCTTGTACATGTACATATGGAGTACTAGTACATGATTTACATGTATGTGCAAAGCATACTACAATTATTTTCAGCATCAATTAATTCACAAATACATCAATACTCTTTAATTACCAGTGACCACTATTCAATTGGTTTAAATCCTGTTTTACCTTATCCCAAGCTTCTTCTGGTGTCTGTAAATAGAGACAATTTTATGTTGAGCAATGATCACTATTTACTGATACATCTACAGGTAGGGCTTTTCCCAGGATTGGGGGTACAAGCCATCCAAAATTATCACCTGTAATTTCCTGAAAAAATTCAGGAAGTCCAAGCCATCATTTTTTTTTTTAATTCATAAGCTGTCCAGCCATCTTTAAAGATATTGGCCATTCGGTGGCTGCACAGTTCACTGGGAAAAACCTTGTCTACAAAAAAAATTCTGACCCTTTTCACAAGGAGCAGTAGTTTTCTGTGTCACACCAGTTTGATTGGTCCCAGAATGCTGTTACCCTACTAGTACAGTTGTTTTTACAAGCCCCAATATAAAAATCAAAATTAATCTGGTTATATCATTAACTGGCCATATGTCAACTGTGGGAGCTTCATTTAGGTGACTCTGTTATGTAATAGCCAAGCTATAAAGTTGTCTATCTATCAAAATGCTCCAATACAGAAAACTATTTTCCATTCCATGAGTGAAGAAGAAGTGCCAGACAGTTAAAAATCAAATACAAATTTCTTTCCTTTCGTCTATCTAGATTTTATTATTTTTTCATAACCTGGCACTGGAGAATCTGACTTTATTTAGTTTGAACTAAGCCATACATTCTCTCATATCTACCTGTAAAAGTGTCCCAAAAGTCGGATTGACTGCTGCGTTGTTAACCAATATGTCCACTCCCCCTTGCCTTTGTACTGTCTAGAACAAATGTAAAGTACCGTATGTTTAAACAAAAAGAAAGTCTATGCACAAGTTATTAAAACCAAAACATGAAACAAAACAATCTAATTCTTAGTGGTCTTCAGAAACAATTACTTTATTTGTTTTTTGAGATTAATATTATCCAGGTAAAAATACAATTACTGGTATGACATACCAAATGTAAAGGTCCAATGTCAAATAATTAAAAAACCCTGATTATACTCTCAAAACATTTATCATATACATGTAGGAGTACCTCAGAAATGAGTTTTTCTCTGTCTTCCTTTTTTCCTACATGGCATACCATTCCACTGACACTGAAACCATCTTTCTTCAAGAGATCAAGTGCATTATCTACATTTTTCTGCTTTCTGCTGCTGATCACTACATGTGCTCCATCCTGTGCTAATCTTTTGGCTATAGAAAATCCAATGCTGAAGAAAAAGTCTGATTTTAGTAGGTCAAGTCACTGAATTTTATCTGTTTATGATAAATTAATTAATAAAAGCCTTAAGTACTGGCAAAGGAACCAACATCCATTTAAAAATAACAACAGTG